TGTTCGTTTACCTTGCATTCTGAGCATAAAACATTCCAAATTTCTGTGGCTGAAATGGTATTTGTATACACTGACTGTGACCTTGAGCTCTAACTTGTCTTCTACCATCTGACTTACTTTGATTTTTTTGTTTCCTTGTTGAGAGAAAGTAGTTCATCCTGATACGTTGACCTGGATTTACTTGTCTCAGTAGCAGCGAATGCTCAGATGTTTGTTGCAGTTGAACACCTTGTCAATGCCACAACATCAGCCAACTGTACTTGAGCTGAAGCCTGAATGTTGAGTGTCCCTCAGCGGATTCCAGAGGGGTGACACAAAAGATCCTGCTGGACCTTGTGAAGTAGCAAGGGACTGTAATTCAAAAATTGGGCTGATTGGTCACCAGTTACGATGTTTTTCACACGTATCTTCTTCATGTTCATAGGTATAGAGTTTGCTCTGAAGATTCCACATGAGTACATTATAAAAGCAACCACCTGTATTATTGAGGTTTTTTTTAATTCTTTCAGGGACTGTAGGTTTAGTTGTATCGATCAGCATTTATTGTCCAACCCTATTTGCACTCAAAAGGTAGTAGTGAGCTGCCTGCTTTAACCACTGCTATCCATTTGGTGTCCATAAACTGTTAGGGAGGAAGTTCCAGATGACAGTGAAGGAATGATGATACATTTTCAAGACAGGATGATCAGTGGCTTGGAGAGGAACTTGTAGATGGTGGTGTTCGCAGGTATCTAATGCCCTTGTCCTTTTAAATGGTGATAATGTGGATTTGGAAGAAAACAGGGCTGAGTTTTGAACCTTGTTGAGTTTTGTGAAGAGTTTCTCTCCATCATTAGCTATGCACCGCACTCTGATGCACCATGCATCCTATTTTTCGTCTTGCCATACACCATTTTTTTAAAGCCCAATCTGCATTTGGTCAAGTGCTGCCAGCCAAATGCTGCCCCCCCGCTGTGTGGTTTAGTGGGAGGGGAACTAAAAACAAATGCTTCTCAGAGCACATACGTGGCATGGCTGACATGTCATTGCAAAGACAAGTGTACCTTCGTAAATGTATTGCTGTTTAAGAATCACGCCATTCAGATTACCTGCCCTCGACCTCAACCCATTTTTGACAGGATTTGACTGTTGCTCCCTCTCCCACTACCACCACTACTGCTACTCGGGGCAGTAACCAGTGATGCCACTACCCCACTTCCTCCTGGCTGTAACCTATGTCCTCTGATGCACTGTTATTTCCTCCACTTATACGTTAAGTTCACACCCCTTCACAATTACTGTCACCTCTGCAAACAATTCCCACAATTGATTTCCCCAATTTCCCTACAACAGTGGTGGCTTCCTGATAAGGCCCCTTGACTCTCAGAGGTTAGATCTCCCATGACCAATTTCGAGAGATAGCCCCAACTGGCTGACCTAGACCCCAAACTGATCTGTGTATAGTTCCTCAACTGACTTCCTGAGACTGCTCAAAGTGGTCACATGGGACCTAGAAGACTGACTGTGCTCCACTGCCAAGGCTGTGGAAGTATGAACTCCTTAATTCTGAATGGCTGATGGGCCGAGTTCAATGCCAGGTCATTTTACACATGTTCAGAATGTAGAGCATCTCAGGGCTCCCCGCTTGCTCTGTAGCCTCAACCAGAATTTAAAAGGCTCACGGTTCTTCTGTCTTCCCTTGCTGTTTAGCACAAAGCCAGGCAGCTTGTCAGTTATGGTGAATGGTAGTTACGTTAATAATAATATGTGGAGTGCAATTTTTGAGCTGTAAGCTCTTTGATAATTGACAAGTTCCAAACATCATTTTTTGTTTTGATGAACAATCTCAACTGTAAAGCAGCAAAGGCTTGTATTGAATCAGTATTGAATCAATTCTTGGGAGAATCCATGTACAGATTTCCCTCAAAATTAATGGAAAATTTTTTGCCTTCAGCTTGTGTTCCTTGTCCACTCATTTGCAGACTTTCTTGTATTCACAAAAATATCCGCATTTATACAGTTCTTTTAGGTTAAAGCTATAACAAGAACCTTCACAGAGACTTGAACATAAAGTATAAGGACAGATGTCCAAAAGCTTTGTGAGAGATGTGTTTTAACAAAGAAAAGTTTATTGCTTTAGAAAGGAATTTTGAAGGTATGAGGTACAATGACCAATGATTTAGCAGTGGAACAAACTTGCTGGAAACAGTCAGAGAACTGGAAGAATGTTGGGGTTGGGGTTGGGGAGGAAAAGCGGAGATGACAGTGCGGAGAACTATCATGTTTGTGGTAGTCCATAATATAAGCATGATTCTAATGGCAAGAATGTTTTAATGTGGGAAGGCCATTATACAGCAATTAACACAGGGCTGTACCTGATGAAGAAACCTTCCTGCTTTTACCCACCCACTGTAGGGACATGGATAGGATTGAACAATTGATAGTCGACTTGTTTGGATCTATTATGACACAACTTTCACGATCATCATGTCCTGAGGTGTGATATTAAACCAGCTTTTGACTCAAAGATGGGGATAATACTGTCACATTACAATACCCCTTCTTGCATGCCTTCCCCAACTCTTGGAGAACAGATACAATGCAGTTAATGGAATTAGCAAGATAAATGCCAATTGTTTTTCCTTCAATACATGTGAAGAAATGTTCTGTACACTTCTTGCTTAAGGTGTAAAGTCTGTTTAAATATATTTTCATATCCACATTATTATTGTGTTGTCAGTTTTTTGGGGTTCTGGTCAGCTTGCTCTAGTTTTGTTTGGTAACATGTATGATGAAGCAGTCCAAACTACAAGCTTTACATTGCATACAGTCGATAATATTTGAATAACTTTTTTTTCATTTACATAAATTACTAGTTTCTTGCACTGTACTACTTTGTTTTTGAAATTATACATTGCTATACCTGATATCAATGTGGACCATCTTGCCTTTGTAAAAGTTACAATTATTTTTGAATACGACCAAAGTAGAATGGTCCAAAGGAGCAGCGCGTAGAATTACATTGTGTATGTACATAAAGGTCCACTGTCCAGATGCAATACACAAATCACTTGGTGCGTCTGACGTTTTTGATGATAAAGAAAACAATAGGTCTATTTGAACTATATTTTCCTATCCAACCTCCTCCCACCCGTTGAAGTTAAATGTTTCTGCTTTTCCTTTGGATCGTAAATTTAGTGTTTAATATTATGTGGAGAACCTTCACAATTTAAAAAAAATCACTTTCCTCTTTTTGACACTTTGGACGTTGTCTATATTGCTTCTAAGGAAATGTTTGACAATGAACCACATAAAAGTTTGGTTAAAAAATGCTGAGACTTGTGGAATGGGGAGGTGAATTTCAGTTTAGATTTAAAAAAGATTGTGTTTGGGAAAGGTAACTGAATCGTGGCAAATGGTTGCTTCTCAAACTGGAGGTTTGCAGGCTGTATTATTCTGCAGGGTCAGTGCTAAGATCACTGTTTATTGTAAGTACTTGGATATCAGAACACAAAAGTAAAATTTCAAAATTTGCCAATGAAATCAAGCTTTAGGTTGTCGCACACAGTGAAGGTGATACCAATCAGTTGCAAAAGGACAAAGAAAGGCTAGCAGAAGTGGCAGGCAGGTGTTAGATGGAATTTAATGCTGAGAAATATGAGCTGTCGCATTTTGGCAGAAACAATGGGGGAGGCAATATAGATTTGATAGTGCGGTTCTAAAGATACACAACCACCTTATGGTTCTTGTGCATAGATTTTTGAAGGTAGCAAGACATACTGAGAGAGTAATTAGCAAGTTTTATTCTGTACTTCAGAAATAGTGGTTTATAGTACTGGGGAGGTGGTAGTAGAGTGGTAATATCACTGGACTAGTAATCCAGAACCCCAGGCTAATGTTCTGGGGTGTGAGTTTGAATCCTGCCATGACACGTGGTGAAAATTGAATTCAATTTAAAAAATGGGAAATTAAAAGCTAGTCAAATGGCGATCATATAACTACTACCAATTGTTGTAAAAACTCGTGTACACTAGAAAATCTGGTTCATTTATGTATTTCGGGAAGGAAATCCCATCCTTACTTGGCCTAGCTCAATCTAGACTCCATTCCCATGGTAATATGGTTGATTCTTAATAGCCCTTTGAAATGTCCCAAAATGCCACTTTGTTCAAGGGTAATTAAACAGAAATAAATGCTAGCCTAGCCAGCAATGCTGCATTGCATGAATGCATTAAAAAGAAAACAGAAGTTACAAAGCTCCAGTTAGGCCAGATGACATTGCATCCAGTTTTTGTCAGCATACTTAGGAAGACTCTAAGACTCCTTGGAGGATGCAAATAAGATTTACCAAAATGATTCTGAAGTGAAGGAAAATTAAGTTGGAGAAGTTAGGTACCTCTGCTTAGAACAAACCAGGCTGAGAGGAGGTGTATAAGATCATGGCAGGTAGACCAAGCAGAACTATTTCCATTAGCTGACAATACATGGACTAGTTGACATAGATGTGAAATTTTGGACTAAAGATGCAAAGAGTTATAAGGAAAAATCTTTTCAGTGCATCAAGTAGTAACTACCTGGAACTTGCTACCACTGTGTGGTAACGATAGAGACAGTAAATAATTTCAAAAGCAAATAAACTTGAAGGCTGTACATATAGATGGTAGTGGGAAATGGAGCAGACCGGAACTGTTCCACAGAAAGCTGGCATGGACTGTGGGTAAAATGGCTCCTGCTATACCATCGTGATTATATGACTAAAATTAACATTTAACACCATAGTGCTTTTTCAGAACAATCTTGTAATGTCAATGTTTATTAAGTATTATGTTTGACAAAGCAGAATTGTGTGAAATTTTGGCTGTAATTTTTTTAAAAATTATGTTGAAACATGATTGAGAACTTTATTTTTCTTATTTTGGACATCTTTAAAATTCATTTTGGTAACATAATACCGTTTTGTTACAAGATGGAAATAGAAATGATTTAATACGTTCTTCTGAAATTGTTTTCTTTTCTTTCAGGTGTAGTATATCCACCATGAAGGTACACCTACACACAAAATTTTGTTTAATTTGTTTACTCACCTTCTTGTTTCACCATTGCAACCACTGCCATGATGACCATGACCATGAACATAACCATGATCATAACCATACTCCTGAAGAAAACCATATACATAAGCACAATGATTACCAGATCTCCGAGGAGTCATACCTTCAAAATAATCCCAGCAAGAGCTCTCTACATCATGCAGAAAATAAGCAAATGTATTACATTCAAAAACTGTTCAGTCGCTATGGTGAGAATGGGAAGTTGACCTTTCATGGTTTAGAGAAACTCTTATCAAATTTAGGTCTTGGAGAAGTTAAGATTCTAGAGGTAGAACATGAGCATGATGATCATGACCATGTTTCGCATCTAGACTTTTCAGACCAACTCAAACATAAGCATGCACACTCCCATTCACACTCCAATCACACAGCACGTGACCAAACAATACCAATTCCCAAGGTGAAAGTGGGGCATTGTAAAAACTCAGATAACCAGAATGCACATACCATTTTGACCACCCCCACTGCTTATCATCAACCTCGGCATCATCACCGCAACCATCATCGTGGTGCAGCCCATTTTGCAGGCTCGCAGATTCATAAAGAGGGAGAGCAACTTCCTGACCTTTCAGATGTTAACACATTACAGCAGCAACCCAAAAAAAGGTCCAAAAAACGCAAAAAACATAAAGGTATAGCAAAACACCCAGAAATTACATTAACTACATCTCCTGAAGAACCCTTCAATATTATGTCCAAAACTGAACATGATGGAGATGAGCATCTTCGTGCTACTGAGGACGAAATAACTTCTCAATACAGAGCAAGGAAAGATTTGAGTTCCTCAAAAAAGAGTCATGAAGATCAACTGGAATCTGAGTTTGTACATGATGAGGTGAGAGTGACTGAACTGGATTAGTAATATTTGAACATTTTACATTTTATATATTGTGTAAATGATGACCAAGTGAATTCAGAATGTTTCCCCACATTGATAAAAATAGAATTGCTAATATAAGCTTCCTTTTCTTAATTGCTTAAATTTAACTTGTCAACTTTTTTTCTGTATTAATATGACATTCAGATGATATTTTATCATTTTGAAAACCAGTTTTAGGCCTTTATAATTACTCTGTGTTTCTTCCTCCTTCACAATCTTCTGTCATTGTTATCACATAAAATCTCTCAAACCTTTTTATCAATTACTATTTATTTTGCTGGCTCCAGGTCCCTTTACTGTACTAACCTAACTACTTCAGAATGAAAAATAGGGAAAGCTCAAGCTGCCAAATTAAGAATGGAAGCTGCAGAAGGGTGTCAGCCTGCTCACTCGGGCATATGCCTTCCTACTAGCATCTGCAGAGAAAAAGAATATCTTTTACTTTAAAATTGACCTGCTTGCAACCTTATCCTATAATTATTGTCTTATCCCTTCAATCTGTTTGAGTTGACATTTGGAGCTGCACATAATGAAGTAAATTAGTTTAGACCACTTAATTTTATACTATTTTTGTTTAAGATTGAGGCAGTTTTTAAAGCATAATGAAATAAATTAGAACTGATTTAATGTTTGAAAGGAAAAAGATCCCAATATTTTCAGATTTTAAGATGAAAAATTCATTCTTAAAAATGCACTTCTGTGAATGTTAAATTAGGTTGAAATCTAAAATAACTCATGAAGAGGTGCACAAAAAGTGCCCAAGTGTCCAGAAGTCATTACCAATTTTAGAGGAAAAAGAAAGTTCAATTTAAATAATTAACAAAAATTAACTGCAATTAACTGACAGCAGAAAATTTATAATATTAACTTTGAGTTTTTTCAGTTGTTCATTCTCATGTAGTTTATTGTAATGCACTAAAAACCTGCAGCTAATTTGCATGCAGCAAACCCTATAACTGCAATATGATAAATAACCAAATTAGTTTATCGCTTTCCCAAAAAAAACCATGTCTCCATGTCATGGAGAGCTCGCCATTTTTGTTTCAGATAGTGGCATGTGATCTTTTATGTCCAAATAAGATGACAGACTGGGTTTCCAGTCTTTCTTGTAAAATATTGCTAAGGCATTCTCATCAGCCTGAAGGCCATCGACCTAAAAAATTTACTTTTCTTCTTTTCACGGGTGCTGTTTGACCTGTTGAATACTTTTCCAGCATTGTCTGTTTTAATTTCAGATTTCCATGATAGGCAATATTTTGAATTTGCAACACTTTCTCACATTCCAGACTTAATTTTACCAAAAAAGTCAGCAGGGTGGAAATTTCAGAGTCTTTCATGGATAGTTTCTCTGTGAGGTCTAGTGAGTTATGTCACCACTATTTTACTACCATGTGCTCACCAGTGTTGGGCGTACCTGCTGCTGCTGCCAGAACGTTTCTGGAATTTGTGCTGCTGGAGCCATATATAAATCCTAGCATAGTATGTTGCTGCACAATTCTAAAGGACATGACTGCTGAAAGGGAGTTGACACCCCACCACATTGACATGCCATGGATATCTTGTTGGTCAGGTGGTGGAACAGAGGACAGTCCTCTTTTTACCAGGACTGCCAAAGGAGATCATAGCTCCAGACTGAGCCAATCTTGTCTGAAATTATCATCCAGGTTAGTACATGTCCACATTCTGGAGGAACACCCAAAAATGCATGAGAAGGTTGATGACCTTATGCATTCCACAAGTTTAAATAACACTATCCTCTGTTTACTTCCTCACATCCTTTAACTCTGTCATTGTACCCACTATCCACCATTCCTCACGGTCTACCATTCTCACATTTGCATGCAGCATCTTCCCTCAATCACTGTCACCTAACCCTAGATTACTAAACTGTATGACGTCTGAGGCTCCGACTTAATAACCTCTTAAAACTGTCCGTCAAACTGTCTATATGCTCCCAAGCTGTTTCTATTGCTTGTAAAACTCAACCTAATGCGCTCAGCTGTTATAACAAACCATTACCACTTTGCAATAGTAAAACCAATTGAAATTGTTAAAACAGATGACTTGTTTAAGTTACATCAAATGAACTGTCAATCTTTGCACCACAGGAACAGGTGTCTATCTGTTTTCTCAGGAAAAAGTACAGAGCTGTTTTTCTTCAATTTACTTATGATCATCAAGTTAAGAGCCTCCAAACACACTTTACTTCAGTTTTAATACATAACAATACATGGGAAAGTACTGTAATGTATCTCAGCACTTACACTGTGCAGGTTGAACAAATCTAACCCATAATACAATATCTGTCTACTCAATTAAAAGAAAAAGCTTTCTTTTGTATTCCAAAGCCTGTCAATGAAAGAATCCAGGATCTGGTGACTTCTTAGTTCACCATTTCGGACTGTGGTTCCCCCAACTCTGTGGATCAGGTATTGTTACAGAAAAGACCTGACTTTACAAAAGATCCTTTTGTATGAGCGTGGTGGTAGGTGGGACTCTCCACACTAGAGCTAGTAAGGCAGAAGTGCTGCGCACAGGAGGACTACCACACTATTATCCCATGCTGGCAAAACTTGGTGGAAATGGAAATAGTCCTGTCTGCCATTGCAGCAGAACAATCAGCATCTAAAAGAAGATGGTTTAGTTTCATTTTGGCTGTGGATTATAGTGACTGCAAACAAATTTTCATCAATTGTTACATAAATTTTTAGTAATTTCCTTTTCTAATCTTTCTGGACAAAATTGAAAATACTAATGTAGCTTTCATTCGTATGTTATAAGTGTACATTCCCTTGTTTTCATATCCATTAATAAGGTTTTAACGGTATTTTCCGTGTAATATATTCAAAAATTGTTCAAAAATTACTTTGGCAATTGATATTATTATTTTGTGATATTAAACTGTAATCTGAAATGCAAATTTGGTGAGTTTTTAATGTATTTAAACAAATGTGTTCCTTCTAGTGCTTGAATGTCTCTCACCTGCTTCAGAGCTATGGTCTTAGCACAAATTCTGGGATTTCTACAGTGGAATTTACCTACCTATGCCCTGCTTTGCTATTCCAAATTGATAGTAGAGTTTGTATCCAATATCATGATGAATTAAGTATGGAGCCCGTAGACAACCAAGATTCTGTGTTACCAGGTGAGGCATTATATATGATCTAAAGTAAAGCTGGAATTTGTTTTTATTCTTATGAAGTGGCCACAACTTCAAGCTTCCAGGCATTTTCACAATCTGTATTTTCTTACAAATATGTATTTATATCAGGAGACTCATTCACGACTACAACATTTGCTTTAAGCTGTCAGAAGTTCAGTTTACTGTCTTTGCCCTGGGTTGGCCCACTGCAGAATTTTGTGCTTTTTAGAATTATTTGTTCTTGGGATTTGAGGCCAGCATTTACTGCAAATCCTAATTGTCCTTGAAAAGACAGGAGTGACCCACTACCTTGAACCACTGAAATCCATATGGTGTTGCTGCATCTACAGTGTTAGGGAGGGAGTTCTAAGAATTTGACCCAGCAACAAAGAAGGATAGCTCCAAATCAGGTTGGTATTTGACTTGGAGAGAACCTTACAGCTGGTTTTGTTTTTACGCTTCCACTCCCTTTATTCTTGTAGGCAGTAGAGATTGGGGGTTTGGCTGGGCGCTGTTCAAGGAGACTTGGGGAGTTGCTGCTATGTATCTTGTTGACAGTACTCATGTAATTTGTAAGTGGTAAAGTAATTGGTAGTGGAGGGAATGATGTTTAAGTTGATGGATAGGCGCAGTCTTGTTTGTCCTGGAATGTGTAGAACTTAAGGCTTTCATTAAGGACAGCCTAAGAAAACCTGAAGAAGATTCCCAGAGCCAAGTGGGGGAAAGCCTGCCTGAGGTCTCTGGCACTGTTTGAAGTTTAAAGATAAAGATTAAAGCGCAAAATATCCTTGTGTTCCATCCATCCCAACCCATGACACCTAATTCCCTATGCCCGTCCCAATGGCCACTACTTCACACACCCTCTACAATAACCTAGGCCCCTGTACAATCCCTTTTTATTTCCACGGCGCTCCATGTCTCTCACATAACCACCCTTTGCCATGCCGATTCACCCAATATTTACCATGAGGACGTGCGCCTTTGAGAAAGATGCAGTTCTGTTGAATAAAATAAGTGTATTTCAGACTTACAATTGAGAAAAATGATCTCATTCATAAATTATGTTTAATGCATTTAAATTTCTTCACCTCCATAAGAATAATTATAAGAACAAGCATTTTATTCAACTGCATATGCATTGGGAATTATCGTTCCCCTGCAAATAGTCCAAAATTACTTGCAGTTAAATTGTAACATGGAAGTTACCCCACTATGATAACGAATCATTGTGAAATCTAAACCAATAATGGAAATCTTCAGTGTAAGGTCAGCAGACAGATTGAAATAGAAAGCAATCATTGTCCAGATCTCCTTCCAAGATTTAATATCTTCAATAGATCTCTTTTAACAGCTTTGACAGCATGTTTTAACGGCATGTTTTACACAGAAACATTTCTACTTTTAAAAAGTGCAAAGAGCACCTGATCCCCATTCCATGCCTTGCCTCTCCTAAGTACAGTCTTGCCACTCACATGGGGTGTCTTTCCTTTGTGTCCATGGCATTGAAATCTCTCAATGAATTGTGATCAGTAGTAGCAGTGGAAAATTGATCATATCCATGGTTGACAAACAGGAGGCTGGAAGAAAACATCAGACGAGGCAGCATCTGGAAGAAAGGAGTAGTCAACATTTCAGGTATTACTCTTATTCAGGACTGGATGTGGGAGTAGGGGGAGCTGCAGATAAGGTGGGGGGGAGTCTCCAAATCCAGTGGGTTGCCATGGGCCCTCGCATGGGCCCCAACTATGCCTGCCTGTTTGTCGGCTATGTTGAGCAGTCCCCCTCCAGTACGTACACTGTTACTGTTCCCAAACTCTTCCGCCATTATGTTGATGACTGAATCAGTGCTGCCTCCAGCACCCAGGCAGAACTGGAGCAGCTCATCAACTTCACAACTTCCACCCCACCCTCGCTTGGTCTGTCTCAGACACCTCCCTCCCCTTTCTTGACCTCTCCTTTTCCATTTCTAACGACAGTTTAAGCACTGACATTTACTGTAAATCCACAGACTCCCGTAGATATCTAGACTACACCTCCCACTCTGTATCCTTCAAAAACTCCATCCTGTTTTCCCAATTCCTCCATCTCCATCACATCTGTTCTGACGAGGTGGCATTCCATTCCCAAGCATCCCCCCCCGAGCATCCTAGATGTCCGCCTTTTTCAAACAACGCTGTTTTTCCCCCCTCTATTATCCAGACAGTCCTCCACTGCACCTCATCCACTCCCCATTCCACAGCTCTTAACCAACAGACCCCCTGCCAAACATAATAAAATTGGGTTCCCCTTGTCCTCACTTTCCACCCTACCAGTCTCCGCATCTAACCTATCATGGTCAAACACTTGTGCCAACTCCAATTAGACCCCACCACCTGGAACTTCTTCCATTCCCCACCACTCTCTGCCTTCCACAAGGACCATTCCTTTCCCCACTCCTTAGTTCATGTCAGACTCCCCACCAACCACTCCAACCCACCTGGTACCTTCCCCTGTAACCATAAAAGATGCAACACCTGCCCACACACCACCTCCCTCATCTCCATTCAGGGCCCTAAACAGCCCTTCCAAGTAGGACAGAGCTTCACCTGAATCTCCTTCGACCTAGTCTATTGCATCCAATGCTCTCGATGTGGTCCTCTGTACGATGGTGAGACCCAGCATAGACTAGGTAACCATTTCACTGAGCATCTCCACCTTGCCCATAACAGCCAATCTAACCACCCAGTTACCGCCCATTTCAACTACCCGCCCCACTCCCCCTCCAAGACATCCATCCTCAGCCTCCTCCAGTGTCACAGTGACTCAGAACGCAAATTTGAAGAATACCGCTTATCTTCCGCTTGAGCACCCTATAGCCCAGAGGACTCAACATTGAGTTCTCCAATTTCAAATAACCTTCCCACCCATCCCCCAGCTTTCCTTCCAGCCCCACCTCCTCCCTTCCATTCCACCTTCTGACCCTCCCCTCGAGCCCCCTACTGGATTCATCCCTCCCATCGACTGACTAGGTCGTACCTAGCACCACCATTCTGCCTCCATCCTTCCCTCCCCTCCCCACACCTTCATCTACAGCTTCCCCCTACCCCCACATCCAGTCCCAAAGATGGGTAATACCCAAAACATTGAATGCTCCTTTCCTCCAGATGCTGCCTGGCCTGCTGTGTTTTTCCAGCTTTCTATTTGTCTACCTTAGATTCCAGCATCTGCAGTTTTGTTGTCCATATCCATGGTTATTTTATACATTGTTATGATATATTTTAGTATATTAAAATAAAATTGATGTGAAAATAATTTCTAATATTACTTGAATTTAATACCTCCAGGTATAAGAAACAGAAAATCTTGGTATTATCAAGGCTATTATTCTACTTGGCATGAATGGAAGTTTGGAAAATTGATGTGCAGTACAAAATTGAGTAATTTGTAATAAATTTATTACTACTTCCCCTAGTGAATGAAACTGCAAGATTGAATTAAAACTCTCATTTCATTAAAGCTTCTTAAGCATACCATTGTTAACTATTTTCTTAATCTTATTTTGATGTTTTTGTGGTAACCAAATATATTCTTCTGAATCAGTTGTTTCTTACACAGTTTGGATTTGGGGATTGCTGTCAATCACCATTATAAGCTTGTTGTCAGTTCTGGGTGTCGTCCTTGTACCGATCATCAATCAAGTGTGCTTCAAGTATCTTCTGACATTCCTAGTGGCTCTGGCAGTGGGAACACTTAGTGGTGATGCATTACTGCATCTTATGCCACATGTAAGTACAATTTCATTTAATGAGAATGTAGTTTGTCATGTGGCTCCAATCTTGGATGGGAGAGAGCACTTTGAAGTGAGTTCTTCAAAGAGACATTGAAAAGGTTTTAGGAAGGCAGACAAATGGGCCTTTCTCTACTCTGGTATTGAGGCATTAATTTTATTGCAGTGATCATAGTATTCAATTTACCAACTGGCCATCAATGATTGTTTGTAATGTGCTTTATTTTCACCTCACTTGTATATTTTGACATTTTCTCAGTGCAGGTTTTCCTTTACTTGTTGGAATCACCATGGTCACATATTTGCGTCCTTGCTTCTAAATAAGTTGGAATTGGATTTGGGGTTTTCTGGGTGTGTCTGGCTTTGGTATTCATTGATTAAAGTTAACTAGCCCCCTCAGACCTAATAACTATTATTAACAACACCCAAAAACATCACCTCTTTGAAGGTTGACAGCACCGAGTGGAAGCTCTTCGTTCATTGGTGCCAGGTCGTAATTTCAACTGACTGAGATATCATGCTCTATCATAGAATGATACTGAATCAGAGATACTTTGAGTTTGCTGTACAGCCACATTATTTCTTCTGCCTATCATCCCACCTGTGCAGGAACACCTGAAGTTTTCAAGAAGACGAAGAATTCAAGAAAATAAAACATTGCTTTTTTTTTTACTTTGAATTTACTGTTGACCTATTTATTCTGATTCCTTTCAGTTCTTCTAAACTTGAAAAAAATTTTGTTGCTGATTATTTTAATTAATGAAACACATTGATTGTTGGAAGAAAGCCTAATCTTTTTACCAGACAAATAGTCCAGTCTTGTTTCCTCCATTCATTATTTACAAAAAACTAAACCTGAGTTTTACTTCTTTGAGAAATTGCCGTGCTATTGTTTACTCCTCTGCCTTGTGTTTCATATGCTGAGGAATGCAAATCGTAAACTTTTTATTTTGATTGGTAATTAGTAAGTAATCTGACATCCTCAATTCCTTTACAAGCATTGTAAAATCTGAAATATTTTGTGATTTGGTTATAAATGACATTGATTTGAAAATTTGAAACACTGATCTGTTTTATTTTACTTTATTTTCATACTTTGTTTCCTACACTCATTCATGGTGTATGGCATCACTGGCAAGGCATTTGCCCATGCCAAATCACCCTTCAACTAAGTGACTTACTTTGGTCATTTCAGAAGGTAGTTAAGAATCAGCCATATTGTTGTGGTTCTGGAGTCAAATGTTGACCAGGTAAGATTGGCAGATCCCTTCCTTAAAGAGCTTAATGTATCTGATGGGTTTTTATGATAATTGATGGTACTTTCATGGTCACCATCAATGAGACTCGCTTAATATTCCAGATTTTTAAAGATCATGGTTAATGCTTATAGTCAGATGTCTAAGTTGTTCCAGATTCATTGTGAGTATAGTCTGAGATTTGTGCTACATCACTATTTATCTTTTTTTTTGTAAAAATAGTCACAAGGTAACCATGATCATAGTCATCATGACCATAACCACGACCATGACCATGATCATGATCATAATCATACTCATGGAAATCATGAAATCTCTGAAGATCTCCTCACACTACATAATGGATTGTGGAAAGGACTTACAGCTCTGGGTGGTATCTACCTCCTTTTCATCATCGAACACTGCATCGGCATATTCCGTGATCGCAGAGCCAGCACGGTAAGATCAAAATGTGTGCATTATTGTTGGTAATTCAGTGTTCTCTTTCCTATGCTTAAATGTTAAAGTTATCTTAAATTCCACCAGAGCTGTGTGCAACTATTTATGCCAGTATGTTACTTCTAGTTGGGAATGACCCAAACTATAATTCCACCAATTCAGGAACTAATAACTAATGTACATTGTAGTTGATACCTCATGGACAATATGACATTCCATTTTAAGTCTGAGAGTAACATACTCCAATCACAAACAAAAATCTTAGAGTTAAAGCCAATTATATAGCAGTGGGTATGCAAGTGCAACATTTAATAAGGGCAAATAGAATCTTGATATTTATATCAAAAGGACTGGATTATAAAAGTAGTGTTGTTACAATTATATAAGGCATTGGTGAGAGTATTGTGTCTAATTTTGGTCTCCTTCCTTGAGTAAGGATGTGGTGGCACTGGAGACAGTTCAGAGGAGGTTCATCAGATTGGTTCCAGGGATGAAAGGGCTGTCGTATGAGGAGCAGTTGAATTGCTTGGGCTTGTAATCACTGGCGCTCAGAAGAACGAGGAGGTGTCTGATTGAGGTCTATAGTATGCTAACGGGGATTGATAAGGTGATGTTGAACAGATGTTCCACATTTGGGACAGTCTAGAACAAGTATCATAGAATCCCTGCAGTGTGGAAGCAGGCCATTTGGCCCACTGAGTCCACACTGACCTTTTGAAGAGCATTCAACCCCGTGATACATTTCACATGGCTATTACACATTGCCTCCACATCTTTGGACTGTGAGAGGAAACTGGAGCACCTGGAGACATGGGGAGAGAATGTGCAAACTCCACCGAGCCACCGTTCCACCCCCATGTCTAAGAGGTCAAAGACATAGAGTGAGAGAATGTAGATTCAAAACAGAGATGAGGAGAAACTGTTTTTCTCAAAGGGTTGTGAATCTGTGGAATTCACTGCCCTATAGTGCCGTGGAGGTAGAATCAATCACTAGATTCAAGAAAGAAATAGATATGTTTCTGATGAAAAGCACTGTTCATGATAAAGGGCTGTGGGCAGCAGGCAGGAAAGCGGAGTTGAGACCAATTTAAGATCAGGCATGATCAGCCAGTGCCCTCGAAGGGCTGAATAGCCCTCAACTGCTCCTAATTCCTATATTCCTGTAGCTGTGAGGGGAGAACTGACTATGGTTGTTGAATAGACAAAAAAAAATCCATAAATGAACAGTGTGAAATATTTAAAATAATAATTCAGAATGGTCAGTAAAAATATGTTCCATAAAAATCAAAGCAAAGCAAGAAAGATCCATTCTTGGTTTACTCTGGAAGCTCAAGATAGAGTTAAATTTAAAGAAGATACTTAAGGTTGCAAAGAATCTGAGATTGGGGAGTGTTTTGGAAACTGGCAACAAGACACTAAGATGCTGTTTAAAAAGGGGAAAGAAATAGAACGTGAGAGCAAACCAGGCTGAAAAAATTATTATGGGAAGCATTGAGCAAATATGTTGTAACTGCCTTTATTGTAGAAGATACAATTTACATACCTCAAATTAAAGGTAAACAGGTGGTAAAATGTGTGAGGAAATTAGCAGCAGAGAAAATATACTGCAGGAAGTCATGGAACTAAAATCCAACAAATCCTTAATAACTGATGGTCTACTTTAGGATTGGAAAAGGGATAGCTGTGAAGATGGTGGATGCACTAATTATAATTTTCCAAGCTTCCCTAGATTCTGGACCAGTGCCAGCAAATTGGAAGTTAGCAAATATAACACTGTCATTAAAGAAAAGAGGAAGAAAGGAAAAAAAAACTGCCATTGCAGGACATTTACCCTGACATCAGTCATCACAAAAGAGCTAGAATTTATTTTTAAGGAAGTCTTAGCAATTCAGTTAGAAAATCGTACTGTGGTCAGACAAAGTCAACATGGTTTTACAAAAAGGCAGTTGTGTTTGACAAATATCTTGTTGTTTTTGAGGATGTAACTAATAGGTAACTAGAAAGTGAAACCAATATAAGCGGTAACTGGATTTCCAAAATATACTCAAATAAGGTGCTATACAAAACATTAAGTAGGCAAGATAAGGAGTCATGGAGTACAGTGTAATATGTTGGTATGGATAGAGGACTTATTAACAGACAGGGAGCAAAAACTATATATAAATGCAAGTTGGTAGGCTGTAACTGGTGGAAGTGCTAAAAGGTTAAGTGTTGGGCCCATGGTTATTTATGAACTCTACATTCATGATTTGGATGAAGAGCTAAATTGGCTGATTGTGCAAAACTAGGGGGAAATGTAAGCTTTGAGAAGGGAAGCATTTATGTCAAGCCCCCTAAAATCTTGTATATTTCAATCAAGTCTCTTCTCATTCTTCTAAACTCCAATGAGTACAAACGCAACCTACTCAACTTTTACTCCTAAGACAGACCCTCCATACTCGGAATCAACATAGTGAACCTTCTTTGGACTGCCTCCCATGCCAGTATCCCTTTCCTTAGATAAGGGGATCAAAATTGCTGACAGTATTCTGGATGTCAGTCTAACTAATGCCTAAAGACTTTGTGCCTTTTTAATGGGAGGAAGCCTTGGAGAGCTACCAGCGAGCCAAAGTGACTAGCAGCTCTGTAGTCCCAGCAGACCCACTAAGAATGCTAGTCACTTCAGTCAGTCCCTAATGCTGAACAATGCAGGTATGTTGATGGTCTTGGCAAGGGTAATGGCAACTGGTACCAAGAGGCCCAGGGAGAAGGTTATGGAGGACCCTCTCAAAGCTGGATTGGTTACCCCACTTCTGACACCAGCCTGAATAGGATGAGGCAGTTAAGTAACATCTTAAGGATCGGAATGGGTAGGCAAGTAGACCATCGCTCTTCAGATAGGTTGAAGGTGTGCAAAGAGGTGGTAGGACGCTCACCCGTTGGATTTTATGAGGCCTCCCCCAACCTTCAAACTGGCCAGCAGGGTAATGAAAAATCCAGCCCTTTGTTTCTTGTCATTCAGCCAATTTTGTATCCATGCTGTCACTGTCTGTTCATTCCATGGGCTTTAACATGGTTAGCAACGTTCATCACTGTGGACAATTACATGTATTCAGTTGTCTACGTCTCAAACTGTGGTGTTTCCATCCAAAACTGCTGAGTAACCACTAAGGTACTGCTTAAAACCACTTTCTTAATTAA